GAGCTAGGAGAAATAGTAGTAGTTAAAAGAAATTCAAAATCTACACCTGGAGAACCAACCAAAACTCAACCTAAGTATCGTGGTCCAATGATTGTGACAGAAGTACTTCCGGGTGACACTTATAGAATATCACAACTAGAAGACTTTATATCATTATAGAATATCAACTTTTATGCATCAACTGCTCATGTAAGTTAACTAAAATCTTGTAAAAATGCAGAAGCAAATGATGATGACGACGATGGTGATAATGACGAAAACGATGAACTTAAAAGGCCCAAACGAACAGTGCGCAAACCATTGCGCTATAGAGACTTTGTATACAGGGTTCGTAGCAGTCCTTATAAGTGCTTATAAGTCCTTATATTTGAAAATAAAATATAAAGGCTCTTATAGGTGCTTACTTTTTCTTTAAAGCCCTTAAATTTTTTGTTTTTAGTGCTTATTTTTTGCTTTTAGTGCTTTTTTTTTTTTAATGAACGCGCTATTTTTCCCGGTACCAAAGCCGAAACTAAATAAACAACTCTTCTTCCTAATATGGAATGTCAGATGGTGAATCATACTCCCGGAAATAGCTTTTCCCCTTTCTCTGCATTAACATAACCTTTGGTGTGCACGAAGAGCACAGACAGGTGCCCGTCGTTCTATTGGTCAAAGAAATGCGAAAGTAATAAATAAAGGGAAAGTAATCGAATAGTTAAAATAATTTTGTTTTTTTTGGCCAATACATTATACAGTACGAAGATTGGGAGGTTCTCCCCTTTCTCCGCAAAATCTCAAATATTGAAACTGTTACAGTTCGCTGCAAAACAAGCAACGGACTTTTTTTTTTTTTTGTCACTTTCCAATCTGAATTGAATAGGACTAAAAGTTCTGCGGTCTACCAACCCAAGCGAAGAATGATTCTATTCTGGAAATTTAATGCTGTCTGTTGAAAATTAGAATGAAAAACACCCCAGATTGGTAAGTCTCATTCTTTTCCTTTATTTAGTTCTTTATTCTCCCAATACCGGCAGCTGTTGATTCCGATTGCGTAATATCACGTAGGGAAGAATTACGGCGCACGTATTGTGCACAATAACGTTCTTGCAATATTTTGCAGAGATAATTGATTTTGATGTTTTGTTCTGAGATTTGTTTATGAACACTTAAAAGAGTTTTACTGTGCTTGCTAAGCAGAATATTTTTCAGTTCCGTTGGTTTATTTTTATATGATGCGCATATCGAAATGTCAAAAGCATTTATTTAGCGGAAAAATTTAAAGAGCGGCTACAGTCTACCACCCCCCGCTCCTCTTTTTCAAGTTATGCTCGAATATTCGCCAATTTCCAAGTATGCGGGTTAGTTAAGATTTTACTGTTAAAGGATGACTGCATGAAGCAAATTTCTGTCTTCTGATTTCAGAATGTTCCTCTTTTTTACTTAAATTACTTTGCTTGCAATATCTGTTAAGAGAAAACTGATATACAATGAAAATTTAGAAAATGTTCAGAATTTAGATTTAAATTATTTAAATATCAATATGAGTGGAAAAATAAAATTGTATTTATTATTAGGTTCCAAGTGAATACAATAAATATGGCCTTATTATTATTTTTTTTCTCTATTTTGAACTGAAATTTCATCATTAAATCTTGTAATATAGTTTTTAGTTCTGCATATTTTTTTTTTCCTCTTATTGTAAACTAGTTCTGTAAATTGAATTATTATTTACAATTTTAAAAAAAAAAAAGTAATTATTTTCCATGGTTGAGGTAATACTTATTCTTTCTTAATAAATACTGCATTTCTCATATTTTAAATTACAAAGTCTAATTTTTCTTTTAAGGTTATGCAGTTGTTGTATATAATGTAATTAGACAGGTGCTTATTTTTTTTCTTAAAATGTTCTTGAAAAGTGCTTATAGGTGCTTATTTTTTTAACTAAAATGTGGCTATGAACCCTGGTATAGGACTTAGAATTTTTTTAAAATTATATTTCATTTTATTTGTTTCCCTACCTATTATTATATTTTTGTTGTTGTTTATTTGTCATTTTAATGTATGATAAGATTAGGTTCAATTGAGGGCAATTGAAAAGTCAGGGTGGTCGAATGTAAGCACGATTGTAAGTTATTTAATTGTTATTAGACAAAGATCTATTGAGAAAATGGCAGCAGCTAATTTCTGGATGTCGTTCTATTTTATAATTTTAAAAAAGATATTCAGATAATGTACGCTTGAAATGTTTAATGGTACGATGCAGTAAGTACGCTTGTTATGTTATGTACGTTTACGAATACGTTATGTGTAGGTTATTAAGATTTATCTTTAAATAAATGTTTGTCTTTTACAACCATTTTATGAGTGATTAATTTAACTGCAAAAGGAAGTTAACACATATATAGCAAAACTGGTTTGTAACAAGCCGCATGATTTAACGAAAAATTTTTGGTCTCATCTAATTTCCTATACATTAAATGTTATTTTTTATGGCTCTAGTGAATATCCATTTGTGGGAAAAATCAGATAAAAACTTTGTGTGTTATTTTTGAATGAAACTCTTATGAAAATTTAAAAATTTCTCCCCCCCTGAATTTCTACAAGTTTAAACTTAAAAGTTACTAAACCTTTAAAAGCATTTAAAAGCTTTTATTCTTTAAAAGCATTAAAGCATTTATTCTGTTAAAATAAATTAAAGCATTTATTCTGTCCTTTAAAAGCATTTATTCTGTTAAGATAGTGAAAAACACCTTTGTGCCAATTTTCTTTTAATTTTTCTCCGATTATTCTCTGTGATCTAAACAAGCTGTGAAAGACAAGTGTAATACTCAGTTCTTGGAACCTAAGGATGCACAATAATCACACCTTAGGAGTTAATATTTTGTCACACAGTCTATCAAAAATTATTATTGATGCTTTTAAATGTGTATTTTAGAAGAAAAGACGTACGAGGGAGGAGTCTGAAGTATGACTTTGTACTGATATTTGTCATATAAAATTTATGTTGAAAGTAAAACAAATTTAATAGTGATACGTACAGGGTTTGTACGACCCTTAAAAGTCCTTAATTTCAGGGAAAATCGACAAAGGCCCTTAATTTTACTCATCTGACTTTCTGTTTGTTTTTTCATGACTGATTTTGCAGGAATATTCTTTGGCGATGCATTGACAAATACGTATTTGACGGGTTAACGTTTGATTTCTTTCCTACTGCTTAATATATGATAGATACTCAAGTTTTATGAGCAGGAGACCCTACTTTGATACTTTAAACAAAGTAATTCTTTTTTTTTGTGGGGGGGGATGAAGAGTTCATAAAACATTGCATCAAAAACTTTTCCTTTTTTAAGGCTATGAGTTTTTTTAATTATGTGGCACTAAATTTGGCGACATATCGACATTTTGGCGATTTCAAAATCAATCTGTATACAAAATTTTATATTTGGAGATTAACGAAATTTTGATGATTTTTTTTACGAACATAACATTGATAACTATTATAAAAATAATGATAATATATTAAAATTATATGTAAGAAATAACATTAAAACATTTTATTTTTCTCCTGCCATATTTTTAAAGTGACGTTTGACCATATTTTAAAGTGACATTCTATTTTGGTGACCTAGAAATATTTTGATCATGATAAATAAACAAGATAATAAATGCTATAAAGCAGAGTTTCTGAAACGCTTATGATAAAAAACAAAATTGCTGTAATAATTTAAGTTTCATTTGTCTTATTTTTTGTTTTTTCATGCAAAAATGCTACCGTAATTATTTAAAATTGAATTCAATTTGTCCTATTTTTTATATATTTTTTCATGTTAAGCGTTTTTCATGTAATTTTTTCAAAATATTTAAATGTGTGTCGATTTTCTCTTTACCCTTCTGAATTTTTTGTCAAAAGTCTTCAGGCTTTTTGCTCTTACAGAGTTGTTAGGGATAATGTTTTTTTGGATTTTAGACCTAACATCTTGGAAAATGTATAGGCAAAATTTACAGATTATTATTTTAAAGACAATATATACAGACTTGCAATTTCTAGAAAAAATAGAAGTTAATTTATCCTTAAATTTGTTTAATAACTAAATAAAATATTAGGTTATGCTTAATAATAATGCATTATATTTAGAGATATATTTTTTTCTTACAAATTACAAAAGTGAAGTTACGTAAGTGGTATTACACAAGTGAAGCTCAACTGCTTTAGTAAGTCAATTGCTTTAGTTTATTTATTTCCTGTTTGCTTGCTAGGTCCTTAATTTTTTTCACTGATGGTCCTGAAAAGTACTTAATTTCCATGTGCAGAGGTGTGGACAAACTTTGTATGTAATAATAATTGCAATCAACCCTTAATGAAATTTTTAAAAATTATAATCACTTTTGTTTATTCACCCATTTTTTGGTAGATGTGACTAAGCTAATTAGTTTTTTGTCATCAATCCATATTTACATTTTTATGGCATAATTCATTTTTCTTATTACATCTTATAGAATGAACCACCAAGTATAGTATAGAAAACCAATCTTCTGGTATCTCGAAAATCTTTGCAACAAAGTTTATTTGTATTATATAAGTTATGAGATTTCTTTTTGCATTATGTAAAAGTACATGTAGTATTTGGCTTATATAAGAACAACTTGATAATTATTATAGTACACCATACAAAGATTTATTATAAGCATCTTAATGTTTGTGGAGGGGGAAAAAGTATTAGTAATTGTAGCAGAGGATACTTGTGGCATGTCAAGAATTTTTTCCAAAGAAATCTAAATTTCTTTGCTTGCATTTTGTTGAAAGTGACACATTCTGGCAAATGATTAAAGGTGCTCTAAATCTGTCTGTATGATAATAGGATCTGTGCTATCCCAGGCAGGGAATGTGCTGATGTTCTTTAACAGCTGAATTCATTTAAGGTTTGTCCAAATGGTGTATAAGAGCATAATTTTCATTATAATGCACTTTGATGTTGTAGCAGACCTGTTATAAAATGATCATATTTCTTTTTCAATAGGTGGCGCTCTGAAGAGAGCTAAAGAACTTAATGCAGATGTCAATGATGTAAGTTAATTAAAATTTAGTGGTAAAAAAATTACAATTTTTTTAGTAAGCTGTTATTTTTCTAATGAAATGTAATTTTTAAATATGCATAAAACTTAAGTTTTATTTAAGTTCCAAGTTTATGTTGCTTTAATTTTGGATTTATGTAATGGTTTGGGTATTGCATTATTCATGCTACAAGATGACTATTTATTTCATGTGCTTAATTTACTGCCTGTAAGATTGATTTATTGTGATAATATTTAGTGCTGTAAATTTATTAGAAGTTTTATATTGTTAGGAACAACACGGTTAATGCTATCTTGTAGATAACCAACCATAATTTCCTGTTGTGTGGGGATGGTTAAAGTTGCTGAGTATCGATAATTTATCCTGAGTTCAGGCATAGGGTGAATAGTCTGGCTGCATGGTTGGTTTTTGTGGCTTTCCCCGTGTGTGATATGAATATGAGCCAGTTTCTCTTAGAAGCCAGTCTCTCTTCTGCCATGAAGGCATTGCTTTATTTAAGCAGGTAGCCCTCCTATGTTTTGCTATATTCAAAGAACGAAACTCTTTGAATTTGGCCTATGAAAATGCTTGTCCTGGAGAATAAACCATATACTCTCACGTAATGCTGCACTTTTTTTCACTAAAAATTTTCATTCAAATGTCATTCTTTTTCTCATGAGTAATTTTGGGTGTAAATTTAGTTTCAGATAGCTAAGTTAAGTTCTAAGTGGAAAAAATTGGCATAAGTAATAAAAGTATCAAATTTAAAATTGTCTAATAGCTACCTAAAATTGACAAACTCTCTTTCTCCGATTCACATATATAATATAAATTACCTCATTAATGTTATCAACACTCAGCGTGTATTAGTTTGCACAAGAGCACAATATAGAGGCACAAATTAACCAACACTTGCAATTTTAATATTTAGTTATGCACAACTTAAATAAACATTGGTTCTTTTGATATCTTGCACATTATTTAAAAAAAATCTGTTCTGATGCACTGTATGAAAATCCATTTAGTTCCATCATTTGCTGCAACCAGCCTTCACTAGCCTTGAATTGTGATGTAGGAATGTATTCTTGTGCTGCAGCAAGCACTCTTATTTGTCACGTTTTACATGTTACTGCATCCCCTTGAGCACGCATATCAAGAGCATGCGCAACTACTTCCTCCTCTCTAAGTTTGGAAACTCGCATTTCGAAACACAAAGCGCACAACTAGTTTTGTTCACTGCCACCAGTTTATCACACTGTTTGCTCCAATTGCGCACAAACTTTTCGTCCACCTTATATACTCTTGCTGCTGCTCTTTTCCCATTTTCATGTGCAAATTCTACAACTTTCAGTTTAAAAGCCGCTGTTTAATTGCTGTGTTTTCCCATTTCAAGCATTTTACTTGCTAACTGCCACGAATTTCAGATGATACTATGAATGAAAAGAGAAAACTTGAAATATGCGAATGCTCCAAGAAGGAAGGAGGGGAAAGTAATTTCATTACAAAACAGTATTTCCTGGAAGCCAGTGTGATGAAAAACCTGTTTGTGCTGTCTTCATTTATTGTCGCATCTGCCGAGTAGATTCCTGGTGCTGATGTTATGACTGAATATTGGTTGCGCCAGAATGCAAGGAAAGTCTGCTTTCCATCCTGGTGCTAACCAAAGACAAAACAAATGCGTATTCTTTTTTTAAAGATGCTTATTGCCTAAAGGAGAAATTCAATGTTAAAAAAATATATATTTTAAAGTAAGAACTTCTTGTTTTTGGGGTGCAGACATTGCGTGGGTAACTTTTTTTTACATAAATTTTATCTGGAGAGTTGGGGTGCAGACATTACGTGAGAGCGGACATTATACGAGTGCATACGGTAACCTTAGACTCCAACTACTACAGATTCTCCATAGCTTCTACGGAAATTCATTAAAAACTACAAGCTATGAAAAGTATGGTAAAAACTACTTATTTTACACAAACAGAGTAGAACCAGCACGCAAAACGGAATCAACTAATTCATCCAATGATTGGCTGAATACTCGTGTCATCGTGATGGTGATAATTTATTTTGTGGATGAATTTCTAAAAGTTATATTTTCTGTAAACAGGCCAACTATTCTTTGTTTGTAGCATTTCCACTTTTTGAAATCCACCAAATGGGAAACCATTTTCACTGGTACACGAGCTGGCATCTGAAGGAGCATTTAATTTTCCATTGCCTGAAGTATACATTAAATATACATTTTGTGTTCCTTTAATGTATCTAAATAGTCTGTGCACTGCTGTCCAGTGCTTTTTCTCTAGTATCTTTATAAGTCTTGACAAATTACTAATGGCAAAAAGCAAAGTCTGGCCTTGTGTCTGTTAAATGCCTCAATGAACCTAATGCAACTTGATATTTTGTTTTTGATACTGGTGGAGAAGACACCACATGATCAAGATTTTCACCGGATTTTCCTTAGTCTTGACAAGTTTACATTCATTCATTTCAAAGTTTTATAAAATTTTAGCTATATAACTTCCTTCACTGAGAATAAATTTTTCGGAAACATGTCTGATGTCAACTTTTAAAATGAGTATATTTTAGTGGTTGTCATAGGCCTGTCAAGGTCATAAGGTGTCATTTAGAAATGCTGATATATATTCTTAAAAAAATATGGAGGTAAATGATTTAGAAAGGTGAGAAATGAAGTCATTTATTTCAGAATTTGTATCTCCAATAGTAATTAAGTCATCCACAATATGATAGTTGAGCTTATCTTTATAAATATAAAATGCATAGATCTGATTTTAATCTTCTTAACTCTTTTTAACTGTTAAGTTATTTTGATGATTTGTGTGCATAAATTGTCAATTTTTTTAAATTGCAAAGATGAAATGTTTGCTGCACAATCAAAAAATCAAAAAAATTGCCACGCACTTTGAACATAAACCTGTATTTTTGAAACCTTCAGTAAAGTGCTGCTATCTGTTGAATTGAAGCCAAAATAAACTTCCCATGATATATATTTGGGTATAACAATACGATGCACTAAAAAAAATTACCCAGAGTAATACTTGGGCATGACATTTTGGAATACCAGTGCTTTGGGCATGAAAGTCAAAAGTTTAAATTCCTTTTCTTAATAATTTTATATAATTCTTCATAGCAGCATCTCTCCGATTGTGGTAATCCATATATTTTTGTACTTTGTTGGGATCAGATAAATGCAGGTGATTTTTCCATGTAAATTAGATTATCCAAGTATCCATTTAAATTCAGTCTTTACATGATAAAAACCATATTTGTTATTTTTTGTCAACTGCAATTGATAACAGGTTAAACTGCAATTGATAACAGGCTAAAAAGGTTGCAAGTTTCGTTCCTTTTCTTTGGTTAAATTCAGTTGCCAATAGTAAATTATTTCTAAAGTACCCTATTCCTCCTTTTTAGTGAATATTCAATGGCTTTTAGTAACTTACTTATCAGTGTGTCACTCCACATATTCTCTGACTTTATTAGCCTCCTTTGAACTCAGTTCTGTGATTACATGTACCCAAAATTGATTTCCATAGTAGATTCCATAGCTTGTAGGTATTCTTTATTTGTATGGTATACTTTTAATAGTATAAGCTTTTAATTTTTCTGGTTGCTTCATTGCTCTTGATGGTCTCTTCTGTAAAATCTGATATTGGAGTTTCTAATGAAGTATCTGTCATAGTCCTTATCTGAGTTTGATGGTAAAGTTTCCTGAGATTTTTGATCTGTTATATCTTCTGTCTGATCTCTCTTGGTTATTCCTGAATTATTTTCATTGTCATTAATTTGTTTTTTGTAGAAAATAATTCTAGTATTTGATTTTTATTGAATTCTAAATTATTTCTTTTCATGAATGCTGATCCAAGTTTCTGCTCATTAAATTTTAGTCTCTCACATCTGGAATTTTATTTAATACATAAATTTCTCTTCATGCTATAACCTACTGTGATCCCTTTTTGATCTTTTAAATCCAACTTTCCTCATTTGTCTCATCTTATATGAACATATGCTTCATGTCCAAATCTTGTAAGGTAAGTAGTGCCTTGTAGATAATTGACAAAGTATAAATTTTTTGTGATTCCCGTTATTCACACTTAAAGCTACTTTAACACTTTCACTCCAAAATTGTATGGGTAATTCTGCAACAATCAACAGCATCATCATTATCTGCATCAATTATTGCATGATTAGTATCTTGCAGTTTCAATTATAGCATGATTAAAACGTTCAGCTTTTTTATAACTCTTCAGAGTATAAAATGTTGTAGGTCCATGTTTAATTTCCATTTTTCCTAACTTTTTTTTTTTCACTTGTAGGTAAAAATTTACTGCCATTATAACTTCAAATTCTTTTTATTTTCTTTGCCATTTCTTCTTAATGATAAATTTTATTAAAGATTCTGCAGTTTCATTCATTTTCTCAGTTGTAATCACAAACATGAAGTTACCACTGTTAGAAAATAACAGCTTCTGTCCATCGACTTCTTGATGAGTACAACTAAATTTATATACTATAAGTATAAAATATCTTCAAATTGCCTTAATTTCTCACTTTTTTTTTAAAGAAGTCCGCATAATTTTTTCTAACGTACCAATTATTCATTAATTATTCTTGGAAAATCACCAATTATTCTTGGAAATTTTTACATTTTCTAATCTGGATTTTTTTTTTTTCAATTTCTATGAATCTGATAGTTTAGGTGACGTAGTCTCTGATGCTATGGTCATTATCATTACTAATATTAGCTTCTTCTAGTATATTTCCTTAAACTTCAAATTTATGCCTATTTCTGTTAGGCGTATTCAGAATGTTTCCATGTTTATTGATCACATTTGCTTTAGTTTTGGTAAAAATTACTTATAAATTGTGATCTACAGTTTTTTGCAGTGATAGTAAATATTTGTTTAAATTTGGTACTTCCAGAACATTTTCTACTCTCAAAATGTTTTTATTTGTGTCTGTTTGCATTTTAATGTTACCACTGCGAACTGATTTGA